TTAAACAAGAAGACGCCTATTCGGAACTCAAACCTATTAGAACAGGAGTCCCAAAGGCAGTGTATTAAGGGCTGTCCTTCACCGACTGCCTGCGATCTTCCAGAAAACTAGGAAAATACCACGGTAACGTTCGCTAATGGATGGAACCAATGCTGAATCGACCCGTAAACTGAACACATTCTCCCAGTGGAGAATAAAGCTGAATGAAAAGAAAAGTCAAATGGGCAAAGTACCTATGGTATGGCATTAGGTGCGCGCTTGCAATACACACGTTAAAGTTAGACATCAAATTCTGGTAAATTCACTGCTTGTTTGGGGTGAAATTATTCGTTGGCCATTGAAAGTAAGCTTCTGTTATCTTCAATCCCAAGTGGAATTACGGCATCCAGTTCTGGGGCTGTGCCAGCAAGAGAATCATCCTGTTCTTGTCAATAGCGCTTTACTCAGTGTGGCTATCTTAATTTGAAGGCCTAGGTTGCAACATTTTAGAATAAGCGAGTCTTCAACTAGCCTAAGAAAATAGGTTATCCTTGACCGTATTTAGGCACAGATGTTCCCATCCTTAGCCGAATTGAATCATGGATATATGGAAATGATGCTTCCAATCGCAAATATGAAACAATATGTGTGTACAGGTACTTTTGTGTGTGTGTTCGCGCGTGCGTGCGTGGGTGGGTGCGTGCATGAGTGCATACGTCCGTATCTGTGTGTTATATTGTATTACTCGCATAATATGGATTTTCCAAGGCTTTATTATTTCTTTCAGTCTTTTCACGCTTTTGTCTCTACATTGGGGGTTTAAATTAATAATGACACTGATTTAATTTTGTGTTCATGAGTTTTTATTGTTATTTTTTGTGGGTATTAGTGAGTTTTATGCCATTTACAATGGCCTGAATGGAAATGGGGAAACAGAGGAAAGCCTTTTGTTGATATCAGTTTTTGTTAATTACTGCTTCACTTGTACTAAAATGGCAAATTAATTAGATTTCAATTGTTAACAAAGTTTTTATGACGTAATGGAATTTGTTAATTTTTGACAACAACATGTTAAATTGTGCAGGTTTTATTAGCGTTAAATTGAAGGTTTGGCTCATATCTCTAGAAAAGACGTCTAGAAAAGAAGAATACTAATATTGGAATGCCTCAAAGGAGCATACCTGCCTTCCTAGTCGCTTCTGATTACTTCATAACTGACGGCGGTTCATTGTCATTCTCTCTACGCTGATTTATACATCAAATTGCTGAAATATTTGAGAACGAGCAGGCTATTAAATTTGACTTGAATTATTAATCATGTGTAATCTTTAGACAAAGAGCTGGACAAAAATCTTCTTCGCTTAATGTTTCAAGTGGGCAATTGAAAATTATGGATAAAACGAGGTTTTCAAAACTTCGGATTGGTGATAGGTAGCAGGTAGGCTGAATTAAATTGTCACATCAATAGCCTTTTTAAATGCTGCTGCACAGATATACTTGTGATACATTTCTGACCTGGTGTGGGGTAGCAGTTTCTAGGCAGGTGACAATTCTAGGCATGAATGACAAGCACAATCAAATAGAAGGATTGATCTAAGGGTCGATCTGGAGGCATCCAAGTTATATGGCGAGTTATATCCAAGAAGGTTGGTAGGTGGTGTAGACGGTAAGGTGGGAATGCATATCATATCTCATCACTGGTGCATAAACTGACTGTGGTATGTTTCAGCATTAAGAGATTGAAACCAGTTATACATGTCACAACTGCTATTTCTGTTAAAAACGTGTAGAGAGGTGTATTTAAAAAATCGTGGACTTGTAAATGGTTATTACATTATTATTTTTATTTAGGACGTCATACATTGCCCTGAGGAAGGCCAAATATAAGAGCCAAAAGCTTGGCAACTGTATAATACAGTGTATGGTTCATAGAAGGACCACATACCAAATAACATCCCAAACCAGATTATAATCAAAGTTGGTCGATAACTGAACAACCTCACAACTGCTAATAGTCTGTGGTGACCTTTTTATGTATTTTACGTCCAATATGACATTGTATAGGCAGTTCATAAGGTTTTTCTACTTAAGAGAGTCTTGTGAATGATTCTTGGGTTGTTCATAAAGTTAAAATAGTTCAATACACTTACAAGCAATAAATCTTTTCTGACCACTGATATAAGTTTAAAACTATTCTCGAGAAATTAGCTCTATCCAAACAACCACACTACACTTTTTGTGCATTCTAGTTTCTACTCAATGGCCAATATTTATAATAAAATCTGTGAACTAAATGGAATTTGTACTAAATTTTATCAGCTTCTATTAGATATAATAATATAATAATAATATTAATAGTTAATTAAATTTGTAAGCAATTATAATAAAGTGAACATAAATGTACTCAAACAATACGGCATGGATTCTCCGTCTGCCGGTAGGTGGTGAGAACATAATAATAATAGTAATAATGATAATCATAATAATAATAACAGAATAAAATAAAATATATAAATAAAATGAATAACTAATTTTATACACTGCAAAATAATATAAACCTCTCTGATTATAAACTTATCAACTTACTACATAAAACTTATAAACTTACTTAAACTTGTCTACATTAACCAACAGATATTCATCCAACATTTGATCAGAGGCAATTCTTACATTAAAATCACCTTAAAATGTAATTATTAGAGTTATGTTCTATAAGGGTATCATGTAATTCCTCAAAAGCGGTTTGCCAATTATTACAATTAAGATACAATTAAACGGGTATGACGCGTACTGAGATTCCATTTATTTCGACATCAATTATATTGAGATTTCCTAACTTAGACGTTTTCATGATCCTGTTATGACATTTTTTGAAACCTAAAAGGACACCGCCCTTTGATCTGCCAAAGACAGAAGATCTCCACTCCGGCACCCAACACAGATTAAAACCTAAAAAAATGCTACTAAAGAAATCATATTTTTTTTTCTTTCGTAACATGAGTTTCTATTTAAAAAAAGAAACATCAAAACTAGTGGCAAAATAAAAAAAGAATCGCTCATATCCTTCTTACTATTAAGATTGTTTACATTATATGCTAAAAAGCAACTCTTTAACAGTAGAATAATTGTACAATTGGTATGAATGTTGACGGCAGGTCTGTCTTTGTCAATCTTTCTTAGCTTGATTTGGAGATTTCTGAAGATCTTGAAGCCGCAAACGTCCCTGCGTGCAATGATCACCTCGTCATTCTTGGCGTTTTGGGTTCGATGAAATTTGCTCCAAAAGACTCGTGACATCCATCCCCAAAACTTCACCTAGCTTGTCCGATCCTGGTACTTTTTGGTATGTAAGACCGACAATATTGTCCCAGTGAAAACGGCAACCATTTCTGTGTAATGAGTCTTTTCTCAGAATGCAGATAGTGTCCGGTTTCATTTGCTTAACGTTCCTTCCTTGCTGTATAAGTTTCCTTATTTTAATGCGAGTGCTATAGTCAAAATCTGCTGATATTCTCCATTTCGTGCCTTTTAGTCTGGGGGCAGATTTAAATATTTCCCATTTATCCGATGTGCGCGCGAGATTAACCAGCAAGGGACACGGAAAAGTATTCTTGCGGCTTAAAGGTTTCACAGCTGCAATCTCAAAGGATTTAGACAACTGTAAAACTTCCGCCATAAAAGAGCGAACAATTTCTTCAAGGTTGTCATCGCTTTTGTAAGATATACCGTAAAAAATTAAATTATTTCTTCGGCTAAAATTATCCAAAGCTTCCACCTGTCTTTCACGCCTTCTATCCACTTCAGTTAGGCGGGCAACTTCAATTTCTTGGGCACCTCAGCTCCATATTTTCTTTTTTCAATGTTTTGATTTCTTCAAACATTCTATCAATGCTTTTCTTCAATGTATTCAAGTCCTGTTTTGTAGGTAAACAAGAGAACTTTTCATCTATCTTTAGGCTAAGCTTACGAACCAAGTCATTACTCGGGTCACTTCTGACGAGGCAGTCGATATAGACATCTTTGGAGCTTTTACACAGGAATGAAAATCCGGTCTTGACGATCCAGGCGAACTTCTTGGGTGTTTTGAGGACTTAGGCGTCATTTGCATTACGTAGTTCGTAGATGTGGTTGAGCAGAAATTGTGTCAAGCTTTAACGGTAGTGATTTGAATGTTGACATATAGCAGTCAGCTGACACCTCCTATCTCCAGGTCTTATCCAAGGTCAAGACAGGCTGCTTGTTGTTTGTTTTGTTTTTGGTGGCCAGTGTCACTGCCCTGAGCCCAGGATGTTATCAGACCGACCCTTGTACCGGTTCCGCAGTTGGCACGGCAAAGATACAAGTCCAAGAAATTGAATAATTTCACAATTAAAGGACTTACTATGGGAAATGAAGCTATGTAATCCACTCCAGTTAGAGAGGAGTCTCTAGGGGAGACCTCTGCTAATTTTTTGCTCACAGAAATCAACTTTTTCCGCTAGAAAAAGCCAAAGACAAAAGGGAGCACATTAACATGTCCGCACACGATGACACCGTTCCCACCACTCCCTATTAAATATATAAATACTCAATTAATTATACACAATTTTTTTCGAAATGAAAAATTTGTGTCAAAGGCGGGATTCGAACCCACGACTTTCGGCTCAATACGCCGCTGCTCTACCACTTGAGCTACCGTGATATTTTATTTATATACATTTAGAAAAAATTGTGTATAATTAATTGAGTAAATGGAATTTGAAAACAATCAAGATTTTAAAATAAAATGCTATATATCATTGTGCCCTATGATGTGGCGTTATGTATGTATTATGAGAATTAATGATTTTTATATGTTATGTACCTACATATAAATTTAAAGTAATGTATTCAGACTTTTAAGCCAAACTTTAAACTGTTTTTGACAGCTAAGCCATTCTCAAAAATTATTACATGCATAGTGAAATTGTTTTAAATTATAATAATTTTATAATATATTTGTTTTTGCTTTACTTTTAATGTATTTTTATTTCTTATTTCAGATATAGAGCAAATTTTCTCAAAAGAACAAATATAGTTCCGTTGCAGCTTGCACGAAGAAGGTACCCAAGGCCCACGTTAGCAGAGTTAAAAGCTGCTTTAAACAACTCGTTTTCTTTTATTATTGTTCGTCATCCATTAGAGAGGCTGCTTTCAGCTTATAGAGATAAAATTCAGTATGCCTTACCAAATACTCCCCACCAAAAATTAGGAAATGAAATTGTTCTGAAATACAGAAAGCAATATGAGAATGTGAGCAATTTTTCTACTTATCAAAATAGCTGAGTATGTTTTCAACACGTATAAATGTTTAGGGTGTTAAAAAAGATTTATCACACCAACCAAGGTGGCCTACCATGTCAGAATTTGTCAACTACCTCGTAGACGCTAAGAGAAAAGGTGAACCTTTGGATATGCATTGGGCACCCATGACTGAATTTTGTACACCTTGCCAAATTAGCTTTGACATTATCATCAAATTTGAAACATTGCAGGTGTTATTTTCATATACATATATATAAATTAAACTCAGTAATATTGTGTTTTGCAGTATAATTTTAATTTTCAGGAAGATCAGAAGTATCTTATAGAACTAGTTGGCGTGCAGGATAAAATCAAACCAGAGTGGAAAAACCCATCAAAGGGCAAAGTTACGGCTGAAGTGCTCTATAGTTATTACTCACAGCTGACGGTTACCCAAATTCTTCAACTTTATAATATTTATCGGTAAAAACATCAACCGTATGGACACACACACACACATATGTTATTTGAACACGCTATTAAAAATACTTAAAATTGACAATCCATATCTATAAATTTAATTTTTCAGGTATGATTTTGAGCTGTTTGAGTATAATATTCAAGAATACGTTGAAATGGCAAAGGCTGGTGATGGTTAATTTTGTGTGGTTCTCGTAAATAATCTTGAAAATGTTTATTGTTAAACTTTGTAAAAGTTGAAATATTATGTAAATAAATAATTAGAATATGCAAATACAAAATTTGATTACCCATTGTGATTTTAAAAATGTTAATTTGTTTATTAATAATTATTAAAATATCTTAAAATTGATTTTTTTTTCTTTAGATAACCTATATTCATGGATAGGGCATAAAATGATATAACACAGTTGCTTCCATTCAAAACAATTGTTTATGTTTAATTATCATAAAACTCTATTGAGCATGTTTTTAAAAGGAACTTTATTTATGATAGGAGTAATAATGTCTTCTCATGAGGGAAAATATATTCAATTGAGACATGTTTGCAAAGAACTGCCTGAGGCTCATAGCAGGTTAAAAAAATTTATATATCATGTAAATAAACAATATTCCAAGTACAACCCTCAGTTACTATTATGAATTTACAACAATTAGTTTGAGTATAGAGGAACCAAGCTGATATGGTTACTTTTGAATCAATAGTTGAAAAGGATAGTTCTATTCAAAAACCTTTTTTGATAGTTATCTGAATTTCAAGCATTTAAATTTCCACTTTCGATTTAAATCATACAAATCTCCAAAAGATGCACTTTTTGAGGCTTCTAATTTTATATAAAAAGCTCTTGACAATAAACAATTAATCCATAGGATATCTCCAAGGCGTTCAATTCTGTAGAACATGCAGTATTGCTTGAAAAACTTTTCAGTAGTTTAAAGGATCAGTTTATAATTTGTTGAAATCTTATTTGTTAAATAGGACTCATAAAACGAAAATAATCCAAACTTTTAGCAATCCCACTTATATTAATTGAGATGTTCCACAGGGAAGTGTTTTAGGGGCTGTACTATTTTTAATTTACATTAACAATTTACTTAAACTAAAACTTTCTGATAAAATATTGGGATTCGATGATGATACAACTATACTTTTCCTGGTAAGCATTATAATGTTATAATAAAAAATATTAATCATTAAAAATTGTAAGATAGTAATTTCTTACTTTTAAATACACTTAAAACTAAAATCATTAAATTTATACCCTCAAATCTAAACAACTTAAATGAAAATATAGTATTACATTCTTGTGTATATATAACTGTAATTGCCCGAATGTACCCTTTTCTAAACAAGTTAAATATTTGGGAATAATTTTTGATAATAAATTAAAACTTTAAGTTTCATATTGATGCTTTGGTAAAAAAATTGAGAAAATCATTTTATAAATTTAAAATTTAAAGAAATATTCTTTATCCAAATTTAATGAGGTTTGTTTATTTTGCATTAACACAATCCTTGATAACATGTGGAAACCTAGTTTGGTGTGGTTCCACAAAATCTACAATTTCTCCAATGATTATTGCTCAAAATCCTACAATAAAATATTGCTAAATAAACGTAGAAGGTATAACACAAAAAACTCTGCATTAATTTTAAAGCTTCAAACAAATTATTTTTATGTATTCATGTCTTATAAGCATAAACTTTACCCATTATGGACTTCAATTACACTGTAAGAACAAATGCGTTAATAAAATTTATTTTTGCTAAAATAAGCACTTCCATGCATTACAATAATGCATGTAATGTAGGATTAAGATTCATATATCAAAACAAAATTGATATAAATTTCTGTTCCTCTTATGATAAATTTTAAAAAAATGGCAATAGTCAAATAAATTGAATGTATACTGCTACCACTAATTTGTATAAATTAATTAATTAATTTTTTTTTACTATTTGTGAGCTCACAACTCCAGCTCTCAAGCCCCAGTTAAACTTACTAAGAGCAGGCTGTTCATTTTACATTATTTTACTCTACATTATCATTTAATTATTTTTTCTTTGAATAATGTACTCAGTATGCAGCAAAAAATTCATCTTTGTCTTTGTCTTAACTGTTGATTGTCAGACTGAAAAAAGAAGCACATGTACGTTTTTCAATGCAGATTATTTTGTAATTATTATTTGTAATTAATTCAAAGTAATTATTAATTCCATTATTATTTTTGAGTGTAATAACATCTCTGGTTAACTCTGCGTAAGTGCAATTTGAAAAATAAGTGAATCTAAAGAGTAAGAATGAACAAAAGTGAATCACATATTTATTTTAAATAAATAATATTTAAAAATTACTAATTTATTGGTTTATCAAATACAATTTCTTACAAGCTAATATAAGTGAACATTTTTACAATAGAATGCAAAGATACATGCATTGTTAAATTAAGATTGGGTCTCTAAAGGTTTGTCTAATGAATTTTGGTGGGTTTTTCCAAAGAAGAAAGAATCAGTAGCTATGCTCTCTGCTCCGGATTCACTGGCGCCATCAAAAAATGAATCATCTGTTTCACTTAAACTGCCATCTCTTCTCAGAGGTTTGTCAGAAGTATTCGAGTCGGTGCTCAAATAGCCGGAATCCTCAGTTCTATTGAGAAGAAGATTTGCTTGGTGGGACAGATTAGCCGATTTATCAACTTTTGGCAAACTATGGTTTATCTTTAAATTATCAGGTAAATGGATTGATCCAGAAATTAATTCAGAGCCTGTACAGTGGTTGTCAATATTTCCTAAATGACAAACCCCGTTTGGGAATCTTTCAAAATTCCTTAAATTCAGTCGTGGCTCGATTTGGCATTTGGGAATTGGTGACAGATGCCTATTTGCACCATTTGCTCGTTCGATTGGGTGGTTTTTATTGCACATCAAGTCAAACGGACAGCTCAGAGAGGATACTCTGTCGCAGCCATGAACGTCATCATGTATATTCAATTTAAATGACTTTGTTGGCAGAGCAGGTACATTTGATTCATTAGGAAGATCGATCATAAAATCAGGGGGTTGGGGTGGACTAATTAAAGAATGGTTTGGTGGGTCAGGCTGCCTCTGTCTTTTTGCCTGCTTCGATTCAGGTTTCAGTGTTTTCAAATATTTCTCCCTGTTCCAATACAAATTAGAGATCTGATTAGGAGGGTTTGTACAATTAAGTACATCTGTGAAAGAACAAGGCTTGGAAGAACGGTGAGTGCATTGGTTGTAATTATTTTTCGCCATGAATATTTCTCGTAAACTTCCAAATGCCCGGTTTAAAACAACCCCACGATTCCTGTTAGGAATCGCAGTAGAATGAATGCAACTGAAATCTTTTCTGAAACTTCCCGTCGACTTTAATGAAATCTGTGCTTGTCTCTCCAGTGAATCGGTAAAAAAGTCATTGGTTATTTGAAGTTTACTTGTTGTATCACCAGGAATTACTAAATTATTTGGTTTACGATCCAGGGTGTCAGGTTCAAAATTATCAGAATCTTCATCGGTGTGATTTGTTGGACTTTCTTTAATATTAATTGTAAGATGTTCCAAACCGTCTTTGCTGACACTGACTGGTTTCCCACCCACTGGAGAATAAGTTGAATCATTATTGCTATTTATACTAGACTGGCTGCTTGAAAATCCAAAACCGCTGTTTACGTATACTTCACTGATCAAGCTGTACCCACCAGGCCTGCTGCAAAAATCCGGAAGTGATTTAGTTTCTTCAATGTTGTTTAACATTATCATTTCATAATCATGATCATCCTTCTTTTCATTCAAGTGGATTTCAGACATTGCACGTGTATTCCTTGTATATGGATTATTGGTTATATAATATGGAAAATTAAGATCTTTTGACTGAATGCCACCTGTAGTGTTCTGAATATCAATGTAATCACAAGAAACTGCAAAGCCTCCTTTGAATTTCATTGTTTCAAGTTCAGAACCGTTTTCTTCACCTTCGTAGTTTTTATTACAAATTAATTCATACTGGGAAGTTTGCTCATCAGGTTTCTTGTCCAGAGATGAGTCTGAATGTGAAAGAGTGGTGTTGTCTTCATCCTGGTTTACTTCATTTACTGTAAAGTTCTTAAAACTGCTTGTAGATGATGTCATCTGATTATTGTTATTTTTACCTGTTTCTTCTGTTGTAGAAATAATCGGTATGGTATAAAGAATGTCAGGCGTCTTATCACCCTTGAGCATTGTTTCTCCTTTTTTCTTTGTTAAATTATCATATAGCAATAGCTTTCGATTGCAGTAGTTCACGTTAAATTCTGAAGGATTTTCTTCACTACTGATTACATCATCATCCTGCTGGAAGAAACTCTTTCTTAATTTATCCAAACTATTGTTATCCGTAACCCATTCACTCAAATCAGATGCTTTTTCATCTGTATCATCAGCAGAGCCAAATTCATTGCTAACCACAGGAACATTCGCTAGCCATTTTTCTACACTGCGTTGTTTGTTTTCTGGTGTTTTACAACAATTACGACAACTGTTCAACCCGTCGGACGAAAGCAGCTTGTTCGAATTCACGGAAGGTACATACTGATTCAACCGACTGCCATTGCAAGTCTCGCCATCACTGGATTTATTTTCATTTTCTTCGGGTATTCTTAAAAGTGATGGTGAAAAGCGTTTTGCTTGCATCTTTGATTTGGCTATTGATATCACTTCTCTAATTTTTGTCAGAAATTCAATAGCTGCAGGTGGTGGGGCCTAAAACAAATCATGCAATAAATTCAGTGACAATTTAAATTTTTTAAAATTATTTTTTATTTTAAAAATTTATTTTGTCATAAGTTCATAATCCAAGGCAAAAATGATGGTTAATTACATAAAATTGAACCAATAAAAGAAATTTGACAGATCAAATCATATTTCTGATTTCTACGATTTAAAGTGATCATTTCAGTTTATTAAATTTAAAACAATTTTTATTTTCAAACCATTGTCCAGTAATTTTTTGAAATTATGAGGTTAAAATGTAAAATACATAAATTATTAATTACCAATAGTAGTTCATGCTGAAAGAATGAAGGATTGAAGTACAGTTTTCGTCTGACATTGGAACAAGCAATAGCACAAATCTTTTCTGGCTTATCTTCCCTTGTGTCAAGAGTTTCAATAATTGATACATTCTCTTCTGGATGTTTTTCAATGATATTATCTTGCGATTGGATATTTGACAGTGTGTTCTTTTCTTTTTCTCTTGAAATTGTGCAAGGGTGGACTACAGCAGACGTGACCTCAACCTTAATGACATAACCAATTAATAAGACAAACATACAGTTTCATGATGTAACATTTTAATATAAAGAATATTTTTTAATTTACATTAACAGCAGGTTCACACGTGCTATCATCTGACAGTTGGATCCTGTCAGAGCTTCCATCAGAATCACTACACGAATGGGCGGATTCTGGTAGATAAAGAACATTGTCATGGCAGTGCCTCAAGAGTGGGTTGTTCTTAACGATTCCCTCCTCGGCAACACCTATGTGCGGTGTCGATGGTTCCTTTTGATTCGTATTCTTTTTTCTCAATTGAATATACAGGACGACAGATGCCACGTATATCAGGCCGATTACAACAGAGCACAAAGCGACTGAAATGTAACCTGATCCAATGCTTCCATTGTTATTGTTCTGGCTATCTACTGAGAAAGACACCTCTCTTACACCTGTCCATGCATTGGTATCACCTGTAATGAACACAGATGAAAAAATTATAAATTCCTTGTACAATTGGACATAATATAAAATGCAGATTTATGCAACTTACTTGGTGTACCAGCAACTCTAAATGAAACGCATGGAGTGAAAATATTGTTATTTTGATTTTCAATATCATCCATATCTTTGCATAGAAGGTGAATCAAAATAAGCCTTCCTTCCATTGACAGGCGCAGGTCACTTTCTCCCAACCACTGAAACAATAAATTAAAAATGTCTCAGAATTATTCAAACTTTAATTTATCATGTTACTCTTGTCGATTTAAAACAGAAATCATGACAAACTGCATCAAAGCAGTACACAGTTATAAATAATTACCTGCAAATAAGTTTTTCCTTCATCTTTCAACAATCTAAAAGGTGGTTCCGCCTCTGATTTGTTCCTAAGTTCTGTCCAACCATTTTTTGTCAAATATTTAGCCCCTGACACGACACAAATGGGAGCGGTGACATCTGGAATAAAATCATCATCTATATTCATTAAACAATTTCCAGTATTGAACTAGATCAAATGTTCGCATTTAAAAAATAATGCATAAAATGGCATACAATTATTTTATACTATAAATTTACCGGTAAATTGGATTGCTGAACTGGGGTGTATGATTTGTCCTTTCAGGGGAAGGAAAACGTACGGTACTTTTTGATGGGTTGATCCTGTCACAAATGGAGCAAGTGTACATTCTGAAAAATTATTACAAATATTAGACATTTTTATCTGAAATGGTTTGTTGTAAAATATTTTATTATTCTTATTTTCTATAAGTTGTGATGAAATGATTACATTTTTATCAAAAATATTACTTTTACTCTCCCCTGAGCCGATTCTTGGAGGAAACGGGGTTGTTCTATTGTATATAATAATAATAGTTGTGTATATTTAGTTTGCGTTAACAGTGCATGTATTTATTAGCGTGAATGTGTGATGTGAGAGGGTTGATGGCAGAATATCACGTACCATTTAGGTTAGTTGTATAATATGAGTAAAGCTTCTGTTGAGAGTGAATGTATTTATTAGCGTGAATGTGTGATGTGAGAGGCTCTATGGCGGAATATTGAGTACCCCATCGACCCTCAATTAGGTTAGTTGCATAATATATGTAAAGTGTGTTGGAGGAATATCGAGTACACCATCAATGAATGGTATGCAAATAGGAGTGAATGTATTTAATAATGAACGTGAGTACGAATGGTTTTGGAACTGCATGCATTGGGTGCTGAATTGACCTAGCTGTTGACAAACTATTATTCCGGTAAGACTCTTGACTGGGCACTGGCGATTAAAAAAAGTACTACAAACGTACTATAAAAAAACACGAATAAAAAGCAGTGGTAGCGTCAGTGTGTTTTATTGGCAGAAAAGCTCTCCCGTATCAAGAGTACGATCGATGAGAGGCCCTTGTAGTACCTGTATTGTAGAAAAGAGATCAACCTCACCTGATTAAGAATAGGTCATACTAGGTTGACACGAAGACACTTACTTTTGGACAAAAGCCTGCCATATGTGTCTGAAACGTATATAAAGGATGCTCGATGTGTACGACTTCATTGAAAAGAGTGTCATCCTCGGCTTTGAATCCCCTGATTCCTTGTATATTAATTGTAGTATGTATTGAGAATGAATGAATTTATTAGAGTGAATGTGTGTAGTGTGAGATGGGGTATTGGGTAAGCTTAGTTATAATATAGTACCTACTTGTGTGAACGGTATGTAAATAGAAAATGCATTTGAGAATCAGTAGAGTGCAAGTTCTTGATTCATTGAAACATCATGCGTCGGGGCTGAAATTGACCTAAATGTTGACAGCCCCTGAAGCCGAATTAGCGGTATGGATGGCCAAAATGAGAGGTTTAGTGACTGGATGTTTTGGTGGCCCTGAGTTGATGAATATGTGCCGAGCCGAAGGTTGAGGCCTGGGCTGTGTGAGCTGTTGGTAGAGGTCCATGAGGGAGAGAGCCGTTGGCTGGAGTCCGGGTCGGGGAAGTAGTGAGTCGGTAAACTCCGCAGCGAAAAAGGTACTCCGATGCAGCAGGTAGCCGAGTGCCACAGTTGGCCAGTAACCAAATCGGCTGTGTTGAGAAGGCGAGGTAGAGGCTAATAACGCAAGTGCCCTTTGCTGTCGTTGTCGGTGCTCCATTAGTGATTGTTGAGACGAGTCTGAAGTCGTGCCCCTGCTTTTGTAAGGCGTTGCTCCATTTTGATCGGCTGCAGAGTGTAAAGCGAGCCATTCCTGAAATCACCTAGTGGGTACCGTGGTAACAGCAGGTCACCACAATAGGTGAGGATCAAATTACAGGTTCATCACCCCTCAAGCCACAGGAGGAAATATCACGACCATCATCGTGGTTGGTCGCCAACATTCAACCATTAAGAATGATAGTAAAGAATCCATTTTTCATCGCACGTTATGATTTGTTGCAAAAATAAATCATTATGGTTTCCCACAACAAAGAAAGCTAAGATACTTTTAGTTGGTGTTGATGATTTGTGATGATGACAAATGTCTGGAAATGGTTGAACCATGAACCCCATGTTCTGCTGCCACTTCTCTGTTTGCTTTGGGTTGGATTCCACAGCATCCTTTAAGGCGTTAAAACTTTAAGTGCAAAAGTTACTTATATTTTGTATAGCTTTTATATACACAAGAATAGAAAAACAAAACAAATTGCATGATACTTATTTCGAAGCTTGTGTAATTATTGCTCTTTAAATGCTTCAAAGGGGAAGAAGAATCCTTCCAAAACAGGATAACCAAAGATTAAACATTTAAAAAAAATACCGCTTTGTTAATGCTAGACGTGGATCGTTCTCCGAAACTATTCGTCATTTTGAATTGTAGCATAATTAGCATAATTGGATGCCCGTTGGAAGTAGAGTGGGAAGAAGGAAACTCAAGGCAAAGGTTACGCACGTTCCAGAATAAGGATGGACTGGACTGGTTCAACCACGACAACGGTTTCCTCTCCTGGAACCGGTACATTAGTCGTACGTTTGGATTTCACGATAGCATGTGCCGTAAAGCTAAATCTAATGCTAAACAAAATAAATTTTGGAATTTATGGATGAAAGTTAAAGGAAACACGTTCCCGACTGTAAATGGACGTGGCTCCCAGCCAAGATCATTAATTCCGTTGAGCCAAACATTAGATTAATGTTTCACTCTTTTTTTGTGGATAAATTATTCAAATTCTGAGTTGTATTTGTAAAAACATTGTAATAACTTTATAAAGAGTAGATTTTCAACATTGAAATATTCTGTTTTTGCATCGTTAACAATGGTTAAGGCACCAAATCATAACTTTCATCGAAAATTATTTTTACAAAATGGAAAAAAAACAGTTGAACTTATTACGGGTATAATAATAATTTATTTCTCATTGAATGTGATTATAAAAAAATGTAAAATATGCGCATTTTGTTCCCCTTCTGTCATAGTCACACTGACCGCTTTTCCGGCAATTTACTTTTCTCCGGCCACATTATTTAATTGTGAGCTGTCCTTTAGGGGTATGTTATTTGTTCGTTTCCGATCATTTTGGTCCGCCTATCCGCGCTGTTTGGCGAGTTGTTTCATTTTCAGTGTTTAGTCAAGAAAACACACCTAGCCAATTATAGTACTGCTAATTACTGTTTCTTATGCCGTTATCGACAGAAAAAGCAAAAGTTTGAAGTCTAAAAAGGGTCAGGCTACGGTCTTGGTATCACGAATTTCAAGAACACACAGAATGGCACAACACACAGACACGCAAGAATGGCACAATTACACAGAAGACAAACACCTTGAGTGAGTAGAAATACTTTGATTGAATATATAAAATATATCGGGTTGTCCGGAAAATAATGCAGGATTTTAAGTTTTCATTAAAAAAAATCTATATAAAATATTCTGTTTACGTTTACAGGATTACTCATTTGTATGAAACACTTATTAATCCTCTTCCAAATGATATTGTTTGTTTACCTCTGTAGCATTCCGCTACTTGGAAATAATTCAGTCATACTTATAATGTCAAAGCGAGAATTTCGTACGATTTTCTTTTACGAGTTTAAACTCGGCCGAAGCGGAGCCCAAACGGCTAGAAACATTAACCAAGTCTGGGGCGAGGGTTGTGTTAATGAGTGCACTGTGCAAAGGTGGTTTAAAAAATTTCGGGAGGGAGATTTCAGCCTTGAAGATGAAGAAGGTCGTGGAAGGCCTTCCTCTCTTAATGATGATGTTCTGCGATCAGTGGTGGAAGAAAACCCCAAAACAACTGTTCGAGAACTTGCAGAGCAACTCAAAGTCAGTAAAACGACCGTCGCTGACCACCTCAAGGCGATTGGAAAAGTGAAAAAACTCGAAAATTGGGTTCCACACTCATTAAACGATCGCCAAAAAAATCAGCGCTTTGATGTTTGTGCATCACTTCTAACACTAGACGTTCTGGACAGTGGCTCGACAAAGGAGAAGCTCCAATACATTTTCCAAAGCCCCCAACTCATCAAAAAAAGGTAATGGTTACGGTATGGTGGGCTTCATTTGGTTTAATACACTACAGCTTCTTAAATCCTGGCGAAACCATCAATGCTGAATCATACTGTAACCAAATTAATACCATGCATCAGAAATTGGCAGTAATGAAGCCCTCTTTGGTCAATCGGAAAGGGCCCATTTTGTTGCATGACAACGCTCGACCACATGTGTCACGTGTAACGTCACAAAAATTATTGGAGCTTGGCTATGAAACTTTGCCTCACCCACCCTACTCTCCGGACCTCTCGCCTACTGACTACCATTTTTTTAGACACCTGGACCACTACTTACAACACATAATATTCAAAAATCAAACGGAACTGGAAAATGCATTTATTGACTTTATCAATTCTAAAAATTCTGAATTCTACTCAGACGGAATTAATAAGTTACCAACACGTTGGGAGAAATGTATTGAGAGTATGGGAAATTATTTGGATTAAAGAACATTGCTTTAAAGTAACTAGTTTCTTTTTTTTTGTTTAATACCAAAATCCTGCATTATTTTCCGGACAACCCAATATTTTGCATTGTATAAATTCACTTTTCCACATCCAAAATGTAATTGTAATATGTAAACAATGTTTGTAAATCCCAGGCCCTGAAGATGATCTCAATAAAGATCGAAACGTTGGCACGATAAAGAAAATGTTTTTCTGAAACCTACATCACACCAGACCGCATCTCACGATTTCTAAATAAATATCGATTAACGGTCACTAATCACCACACAAATTTCAAGAACGTTTTTTTTTTTTTGGTCGTACCAGATAGAAAAATATTAGACATGACCCTTGCCAATGTGCCCTAGGTATATATTATATGTCCCTACCCTATATATATGTCCCTAAGGAACCTATAAAAAATATTTTAAGTTATTTATATTTTTAACATAGGTTTCTGTCTTTGTTGTGTATATATTTCAAATGTATTATATATCAGTAGATTCTGTTTTTTATAAGTAGGATAACAAAATAATAAATATAACCAGGATTGCATTAAATGACACTAAATGTATAAAAAGTTACAAAAACTGAGGAAATTCTTCCAGTAAAGTAGTCCAAAAAATATTTTCTTGAAAAAAAAGATCCATTTAAGGACCGTTTAAATCCCTCAAATACGAATTTTTATAGCAATACAAAAATAGACATATATGTTCTGGATTTAGAC